GCCCCAAGCCATTACCTCGTTTGAAGCGTCCGAGTCCCAGCGTTTCCTTGCAAAAAGCCAATTCAAAGCCTTCTGCCCCCCCGCCATGGATACCTAGAGTCTATTTTGCAACCATACCCTAAAAAAGATACCCTAAAAACAAGGGGGTTTGCAAAATAGACCCTAAGTGTCCACCAACTCCCCCTCCCAAACCCACCCTCCCAACTGCCACCAGTCCTCTCCAGCAGCTGCTCTGCTTCGGCCACCTTGCCCGCTGCCTTCAAGGCCGCCAGCGCCGCATTGCACACCACCAGGTTGGGGACCAGCTCTTGGCCTGACATCTCCTGCGCAGCGACTGGGATCGACCAACGGGGATACACCAAAAAAAACGCGGGCATGGACTTTGGTTCAAGGTGTCTGGTGGGACCGCACAGAGGGAGTGAACAGATCCTTGGCACTTTTGAAGACTTTGCAGACCTGGCTTCCGAGCAGCGTAATGGAAGTGTGGCGCTGAACCGCAACTTGATCAAAGGCGGAGTACCTGCGAGGTCCTGATATGTAATGGATGTGTGATGTGGTTTGGACAGGATATGACAGGATGACATGTTTCGCCCTCGCGCAGTCTCTCCATCCCAGAAAAACATTGACTCACAGAAATCCGACCCAAAATCCTCCGGAGCCGTTCGCAGCACGGCCGATGAGATGGCCATGGGTCAAAACCTTGTACCCCCAGTGAAAATCCCAATCCCCACTGAAATAGACTAAAATGGGTGGTGACCTGTCCCAACATTAAACCAGTGGTTTTGAACCATGGCCAGATCCTTCGAAGTGAGGCCAGTTGCTGAGAGCACCGAGACCGTGGGTCCTCCAGCAAGCCGAGCGCCTCTTCCCAGCGCCCCGCGCGGGCACAAGCATCCACTGCAGCGCCATAGCCTGACCCCAAAATGGCACCATTGGCTTTGACAACCACAGCCACATCACAACTGTGCTTGGTTGTTGCTATTAGTTGCTCTTTCTTAGCACTCAACAGTGGGATTCAACCCAGAGGTGGTGCTACCTCCAATATTTGCTGTAGATCTTGTTCCGTAGACGACCAGGCTTCCATGGAGAACCACCACATATGGCATGAGGAATTTGGACCATGGGACATCTGGGGGTTGATCCATTTCCGTTCAAGGCCCCCAGCTTTGACCATGGAGAACTGTTCAAGAGCCTTTTGATCACCCTTCAAATGGAAATCCAAGGGGGTCTCTCCAGGTTGATTGGTGTCCTTTCGCCTCAAAAGCCAATGCCGAAGAAGTGCTTTGACAAAACTGTTGGATACTTATTTGCTGTCCAAGAGTTCCATCGCAAACACAGTATGCCATGCGTTCATCAAGGAACCATTGCTGTTACCGTGCATTCTCGTCGTGTGAATATTGGTCAAATCGTGGCACGTGTTCATCACGATCACAACTCACAAGCACATAAAACGTGACAAAGCCGAGACGCTCACCACATTCGGCTGCACCACAAACTGCATTTGCCGCAGAATGTCCTGCAGCGCCAAGGAGTTGGTGCATCAAACTGGTCTTGTGGCTTGCCATCCAAGCTTGCCAATGCTCAGCTTTTTAGTTCGAGAGATCCACATTCTGAACAGCTCCCCAAACCCAACTCCCTGGTCTGGGATTCAATGTATAGAGAAACTTGAGAGCCATGCAACACTCACACCCCCCAAATCATGAACGAACTGGAGAACTGACTGGCTAAGCACCTAACAACAGTACTTCGTGCACTGGCGTGCTGCATCACGAAATAGGCACTTGAATTGGCACACGCAATAACCTTTCCAGCAAATGGCTCGCTCAACCGTGCTCGCTAGCTTGTCAGCTTGTCAGTTTCCAGCTTGCTGAATCACTAGCTTGTTAACTAACTCAGTGTCGAACTGAAGCTCACGAGCAAACTAGCCAGGATTTGCTGGTTCAGCTCTCGTCATTCAAACGGTTTGTCGCGGTTCTGATTTTGCACCCTTTCGGGGGGTCAACAAACTTCAACAACTCGATTTCAGTGTGTTGCTGGTTGCTCGTGCTCAAACTTGTGGCAGGCACACTGCTTTCTTTACCGCCGCAGCGCGTTGCAGGCACAACTGATCAACCAGCAAAGCGTTTGGCGAAGCAAACTGAGAAACTGACTAAGTCACAGACCGACTAATCCGCTATGTCAGCTGAATGACCGACTGGTAAACTGATAAAAGTCATGTTTGAAGATCAATGCTCCTTCTGATGCAGCTCTTGATTTCGGGCACTGATCCGTCAAAAGCACGGCAGGACTGCTTCGGGGTGGGCTAGGCCTGAGTCCTTTTTCCTGCAGCCGCCCTGCTTTTCAAGATGGAGCCTTCAAGATTAGGATCTGGTAGAGCTAGTATTCGCTCCAGCAAAAGCACGTAACAACAACTGATGCGTTGTACTGTGGCACATCGGCTCCACCCACTGCCAGAAAAACACCTTGACTTATTTTGCCAAACACACCACCACCACCAGCGGCCCTTGTGGGTTTGTTTCCAACAGGGAGCCTCAAAAAATGGGGGGGGGGCTTCCTTTGGATCCCTGCAACAACCTCAACAGCACTTTTGAAACAAACACACACAAACACACTATGAATCAGAGGCAGCACATGGGGGGTGCTTGTTGTCACGGGTACCCTTGCGGGTGTCGTGTTAAGTATGAGAAGCCAAACCGAAACCGGTCGCTTTTCCGGTCCTCACTTTCTGAGACACATATGAGCTCATATGGCAGTGAGTCAGAAAAAACATCACTTGGGGTTCAGGTGTTAGTCTTTCCATCCAGGGCAACCCATTTTTCATTTTGGGGTTGCCCTATTTTTGAGCCACACTGGCAGCCACACCCATATTGTCACCCCCGTTTTTCCCAACGAATCACCGCTCCAGAGCGCAGTGGCACTGCATCTGGCGACCGCAGGCGCTGATCACAGCGTTAAAGCTCACCACGTCTGGGGTGACGCCCAGGAAACTCATCTGCTGCAGTAGCATCACTGCGCCTATGGCCCACGTCTTTTTTTTTGTTGTTGTGTGTTTTGTTTTTGTTGGATCTTTTTTTTCTGGGGATCTTCCCACAAAGTGGCTGTAGCTCATAAAAGAAGGAGCCAGGGCAAACCGCAGGCAGTGGTTGGTTCCATTTACCCAGGTGCCATTTTGGTACATGCTTTTGAGCCGTTACCATTTGCCCAATGCTCAGCCCCATCCGTGGGGATGTAGTGTTGAGCCCGGGATTGCGGTTTTTGAGGGGAACACCCCCACTTGATTTGGATGTCAAAGAAATTTCCCCCGACGAAAAAAGCGGAAAAATGGTTGGTTGTGGGATCGCTAAGTCGGATACCAATGGAATGGATTGGTTGGACTATGGCCGATGATTAGCTCTTATTGAGGTTTCCAGAGAAAACACCATCCAAAAGCGATGCCCCAACAAAAAGGCGTGAAGATGCTTGGTTTGCCCTGGAAGTTTGGTCTCTCTTGGTTTATGTGGGGGAACTGGGTCTTCAGCAAACGCGAGGCCCTGCCTTCCCAGTAGCCGCTGGACTCACAAGCCGTGATGGCAGCATTGAAGTGAATGACGTTGGGGGCAGGCCCAAAGTGGATCATCGACTCCAGGATAGACAAGGCTTGCTGACCTCAGCAAGCAAAGCCATCCAAGCTTTGCATGGTCAGACGTCGAATGAGAAATTGTCACCTTCGTTCAGAACCGATGTGGGGATTGTCTGCCTTTGGATAACGACTGCTGAGCTCGGCACAAAGGCGCTTGCGCCCCAGAGTCTTGATGGCAAACGTGTAGTCCTGCAAGGCTGAGCTCAAGCCCGTGCACCCATCACGCGCTTCAAGCAGCCCAGAGACAAAACTCGAGGCTAGGACCATCTGACGGCTTGCGAGCAAAGACACAACGTGCAGGCTTGCCGTCCTGTGGGCTTCGAAGCATGCCTTCGGCCTGCATGGCTGCCACGGCTGCTTCCACATCTTCTGGTCGTGACTTGGGATCCTGCGATTGCGAATCAAGCCAATTTCTCATCGCCAAATCTTGTGCTACTGGCTTCTGCTTGTATTTGATCTGTCGCTCACATTACCGGACTCCATGTTTACGGCAAAGGCAGCCTAGCAGCATTTGTGCAGATGCGCCGAACCAAATTCCGCATTCTCCTGTGCCGTGGCCAGGCATCGCTTTTGCCATGTGCTGCGCATCTCGAACCGCCATTGCCAGGCAAATCGCCGGCGACTTCAGATGCTACGCAAGGGCTTTGTGCGTGTTAAACGTCCACATTACGTTCGCACTGATTGCTCACGGAGCTCCGAAGGACCTGGCTGGCTTGGATGTGAATGTCTTCAATCCATGGCTGTCAGGCAACATTCGCCATGCTTCAAGCTGAGCTGTGCGTATGTCCTCTCCCTTCCTGCTGGAACCAATGATGCCGTGAGGGCCAGGCACTTGGCGAATGATTCTGACAGAACCGCGTTTGCAACGGACTGCAACAAATGCTATCCGAACATATTGCCACCGTCAAAACCAACAGGCCCAAATAAGGGGCCATCCAAACCCTGAGTCACAAAATCGAGGCGACGTCTGGACTTTCCATGGGCGGCTGTGAGAAGCAGTCTCCCTGTTCCCAGTCTCAAAGTGTAAGGCCCGACTTTTGGATCTCTTCAGATCTAAGCGCGGCCCGAGCCTGCCTCAAATGGAAGATGACGACAGTGAGAAGTGCCATGGCTACGTGGCTACGGCCAAAGACTGGTCTCCATGAACCTGGGTCTGCATAGAGCTTGAGCTGTCCAGGGGTCGCAGCCTTTTTTCAACTCGTGCAAGGTGGAAAGTCTGCAAGCGCTACAAGCCGCTTCGTGTCCTGCCGAAACCTACGGACCCAAGCTGAGCCAAAGGTAGCGAGTCATCCTTTAGCAACGAGACATCCGGCCAAGTGCCTGCCAGTCACCAGGCGAGAGCCCGACAGTTTCAGACTCAACTGGATGTTATTCTCGGCGCCTCGCGGGGGACCAGCTGCCGAATCACGGCATCGTCCAAGGTGTCGCTCAGCGGAACCTGCCGGGGTACATCGGCAACGTGGAAAACCCTTACGCTTCGCAAGAATCTGTAGAATCAATGCTCATAGTCTCATAGTGCCATACCCAATACCTGTCAGCACTAAACTTCCCGAACAAAAGCAACCACTCAATTTGAGCCTGTGACTGGGCAGTCGTGTGCCATTTAAACTGGGGCCCTCTTTTGGGCGAGGTCCAGTTCGCGCCTCGCCTTTGGACACGTTGACATGGGGCAATCGACACAGCCTCTTCAAAGGCACAGCAGGAAACTCTAAAGTGATTCCTGAAAGTGGTCCTCTTTCTGAATCCTCCCTACCCCGGCATGCACATGAGTCATGAGCAAAGCGACAAAAGCAAGGGACCCCGTTGGCAACTTACTTCTCTGACTGTGAAACCAAGCATTCGGAGGGTTTCAATTAACTGGTTTCCTATCTTCTTTTGAGCAGCGCCCAGAACCTATCAACTGTGGGTTTCGCTAACATGATTTGTTGCAAGGTTATAATGTGTATATATATATGCCGCATTTATATGCCATACAATAACTGGGCCCCACAAACCAGGTAGTCAACCTACTTAGAACAGATGTGCCAAGGTCGCGGTTTTGGGCGCTGCTCATTAGCGCGTGGCCAAAGCGGGCCTCCGGCAGCTGCCAAGTGCTGAAGCGACGGCTGAAGCGCCGCAGTCCCGAGATCATGGCACGTCATGCAAGATGTGTGGCTAGTTTGTGACACAATACAAATAGTACATGTATATAATATAATAGAATACTAGTTTGTAATAGAATACAATATGTGATTGTTTAATCCGACCCGTTGGTGGACATCATTTGGGGATTTTGGGGATGTATGTCCACCACTTGTCAGGGGGCATAGCCACTTATCCACAAAGACTGTGCTTTTTTGTCGTGCGTTGTTTTCAATGAATGTCTCCGCAAATAAAGCAGCCTTAACCTACACGTCACTTGGGCTGTCTGTTTCTCAGATCGGCTAAAAGTGACTAACGTTTAGAGGGTTAAATGGAAACCCAACCGTTAACCAACAAAAAAGCCAAAAAGCTAAGGAACCAGATGGCTGGAAACCACCAAGGTCACCTGGGTCTTTGTGACTTGTCCCACAAATCTCAAAAGTACTTAGGCATGACAGAGTGGTGTTCCTCTTCGCACTCTAGAACCTGTGAACATTATGTCGCCCAGAGCGTTGCTGCTGCACAATGTTCTCTGTGCGGCCAGTGTCCAGATTCTTGATTTGGACCCGCATCAGATCATGAAGCGCCACTAAAGCTTGGAAAACTGATGTAAAGCTTGCAATGAGCATGAGTCCAAACGATCAAAGTGGTGTGCACCGCCTGTCTGGACAGCGATCCCTACGGCACGTGTTTTTTGCTTCTCGACTCTCTGTTTGGCGGTTTCTGCTCACTGCAGGTGTTCAGCAGCACGAGATCTCCAATGTCACATGGGGCGTGGCTCAAGTTGGGGACCACAACGAAACTGACTATCCAACCAAGCCTTCACCAATAGACAGATCTCAGGCTTGGAAGCAGGTAGGAAGATAAGGAATGTGAGAGATGAGAGACCGAACGAAAGGAGGTGGCATTCATCCAACTCAAGGTGGTCCCAAGCATTCTTCATTCAGACATGCCCACCCGGCAAGGCCACGAAACGATATCACAGCGCGTCGCGGTGAAACACTTGCGTTCGCTTCTGTCTCGTCTCAGGCCATGCCTCAGCCTTGGTCAAACAAACGGAGATACCCCCGGCTTGTGTGACTGATGAGGTCCAAGCGGGTACCAAAAAACAAATCCTTTTGCGGGTACTTGTTTGACGCCCTCCGTTGTTTTCCCGCTCCGCAGTACAGTACGCTTCCGCAGCTCCACACGCAATCTTTAAGTACACGTGTAGCAACGGAAGTACACCTTCGCAGCGCTCCAGCTCCAAACCCGACACTTTTCAGTACAAGTGCAGTAAATAAAGTGCACTTCCACAGCTTCAGCTGGAAAGTCGCAACTGCTGAATGCAAGTGTAGTACGTGAGGTTTGTGTGTTTCTCCTTACCACAAAGTCCCACCCTGACTAAATGCAATTGGGGGTATAATACAGCCCCACATGCTGTTGCTGAATCAATGAACATGTTTCGACCCACAACCCCCTCAGCAGATGTTTACAAGAAGTCACCCTGTGGAGGTATCTTCAACGTTCACATATTCCAAATGTGCTCGGCTTCGTGACCCTCAAAGCAAAGGAGCCTCAACAATATCCAAACTACATCAAACGATCTCTTCCAGGCACCAAGGCAAGTCTGTGTGGGACCGCTTGCCGGGCCAGCATTCGGACACAAAACCTCGACACTTTTGCTTGAGTCGACCCTTCTCCGCGACTTCCGTAATTTACATAGCTCTTGGGTGATCGGATCGCGTTTTTGGAATACCGAGGCCCCTGCACTCAAAGATGCTCTACACGAGGCGCCTGGCCAATTGAAGCCGGCTGAGTGAAGTCTGGCTGGACTAGCATCAGGCCCGGCAACCAAACAAGGGTCTGCAACTCTTCTGAGTGGCATTGAGTGGGCAAAACAAGGGCCCTGGATCGTGCAAGCTTCAATTCCTAGGGGCGAACTTTTCCTGCCTCACCCACCACCTTCGCTGTCGGCCTCACCTTGGGCGCTGAAATTGGGGGATGGGACGAAGATCAAATCGTGGAATCGTGGCAGCCAAAATATGGGTGTCTCTTTTTTCGAGAGTACCCCCTGCCCGTATGGAAAAACTTTTATCCAATTGCGAGTGGCTGTGGCTCAAAAGTATGTACCCAAATGGCACCTTGGTACATGGAGCCAAAGACTAAAACGTGCGTAACCCTAGCTCTTTAAGTTTGAGCCATACCCAAGTCAACATTTCCAAAAAGGTGCCTACGTAACACTGAAAGGGCTACGCATCCCAAGGCCAGTTGATGCATTTGCTTTCCGTTACTTAATAGGGCCAGTCTCATGCATCAGCCTCCTAAAAGGATTGATGACTGGCACCATGGGTCGCAACTGCCAACGAATAGGTCTATCCTTTGCAGTCTGATCTGTCCAAAAGAAGTGCAAGGCTCTATCTGTCAGCCTGCACGGTTTGCAAACCTCATGTCACTACTATAACTACGCATCCCACAGTAACTACAAACTTGCATGCATTCAGAGAGTGGTTCGAATCTGTTCGCGGCACTCACTAACGTTATCAAAAGATCTTCAGCAATACCCAGTCCCTGGCCGCCCAAGGCGCACGCAACGCGCAGAAAGCGACCAACCGGGCGCCCCATTGAGCGATTTCCTGTGCATCCTGGCCGGCGGCTTCATGCCCTCGGCGATGCCATCGCTGCCACTGATGCCTGGCGCGCTGGTGTTTCGGTCGTCTCAATTGGGTCACAGCTGTTAGCTTTGGACCTTGCATCAAAACCCAGCCTCATAGGGAGTCCTTTATTCGGGAGCATGTGTCTTTCTTTGGAGTGTGTACCAAACTTGTTTCCTCTTTTTCCCTTGTTTTTTTTCCCGGAAAACCAAAAAGAAATCCGGCGCGCCCTGTGGGTTCCCTTCACAGGAGAGCCGCTCGGTGCTTGCCGCCGGCGTGTCGCCAACGGAAGCGGATCGATCCCCAGCCTGGCAGCTGCACCTGCGCGGCGGCGCTGGTCCTTGGCGAAGCCAACGGGGCTGGGGCGCGAGGGATGGGTTCTGCTGGAGGGGTGGGGGCGGGGTGGGGAGGGAGGGGAGGAGGGAGGGGGGAAGCCCAGAGTTCCCCTTGGTTGAGCCCTTATGGGAAGACAATTGCAACTAATGTCAGAAGCACCTGGCGTGTAAGAAATCAGCACCCGAGGCATCCAACCCACACGCAGCCTCTAGCAAAATTGCCCTGGTCTGAACTTTGGCTCATGCAATGTGGTGACTGCGTCACTTTTGTCTCAGCGCAAATTGGGCTTGTCCAGACTGCATTTGCAGTGGTCCGGCAGCGCACGTTTCAGGGATACTTTCGGTGGAGGGCTAAACAGCGCGACCGGCAACGCCTTTGGCGATGTCCGTGAGCGCGACGAGCTGCCCAGAGGATCTAAGTTGCCGCGTGGTGCGCAGTTGGAAACACAAAGTCCGAGTCATCAAGTTAACACCAATAGACTCACATGACTGGCCCCGCGCTGTTCAGTCAAACGGAGGCCTCATCGAAAACTGTAGTAGTTGTTGTAAGAGTAAGATCCGTAGTCGTAACTTCCATAGGTGTCCTGCCGGACGAGAATTCTGCTTTTGCCTTCGCATAGTCCCACGTGCATGTGTGTATGTGTGTTTGTGTGTATGTGTACGTGTATGTGTATGTGTATGTATGTGTATGTATGTGTGTGTATGTATGTGTATGTATGTGTGTGTATGTATGTATGTTTGTATGCTTGTATGTTTGTATGTTTGTATGCTTGTATGCTTGTATGCTTGTATGCTTGTATGCTTGTATGCTTGTATGCTTGTATGCTTGTGTGTTTGTATGATTGTATGATTGTATGTTTGTATGTTTGTATGTTTGCATGGTTGTATGTTTGTATGTTTGTATGTGTGTATGTTTGTATGTTTGTATGTTTGTATGTTTGTATGTATGTATGTATGTATGTATGTATGTATGCATGTATGTATGTGTGTGTACGTACGTATGTATATGCATATGTATATGCATATGTATATGTAATATGTATATGTACATGTATATGCGTGTGTATGTATGTATATGTGTGTGTATGTATGTATGTATGTATGTATGTGTGTGGGTGTGTGTGGGTGTGTGTGTGTGTGGGTGTGTGTGTGTGGGTGTGTGTGGGTGTGTGGGTGTGTGGGTGTGTGTGGGTGTGTGTGTGTGTTTGTGTGTGTGTGGTTGTGTTTGTGTGCGTTTGTGTGTGTGTGTGTGTTTGTGTGTGTGTTTGTGTTTGTGTGTGTGTGTTTGTGTTTGTGTTTGTGTTTGTGTGTGTTTGTGAGTGTGAGTGTGTGTGTGTGTGTTTGTGTGTTTGTGTGTTTGTGTGTGTTTGTATGTGTGGTTGTGTCTGTTTGTGTGTTTGTGTTTTTGTGTGTTTGTGTGTTTGTGTGTTTGTGTGTTTGTGTGTGTTTGTGTGTGTTTGTGTGTGTTTTGTGTGTTTTTGTGTGTTTTTGTGTGTTTGTGTGTGTTTGTGTGTGTTTGTGTGTGTTTGTGTGTGTTTGTGTGTGTTTGTGTGTGTGTGTGTTTGTGTGTGTGTGTGTTTGTGTTTGTGTTTGTGTTTGTGTTTGTGTTTGCGTTTGTGTTTGTGTTTGTGTTTGTGTGTTTGTGTGTGTGTTTGTGTTTGTGTTTGTGTTTGTGTGTTTGTGTGTTTGTGTTTTTTGTGTTTTTGTGTTTTTTGTTTTGGTGTTTTTGTGTTTTTGTGTTTTGGTGTTTTGGTGTTTTGGTGTTTTGGTGTTTTGTGTGTGTGTTTGTGTGTTTGTGTGTTTGTGTGTTTGTGTGTTTGTGTGTTTGTGTGTTTGTGTGTTTGTGTGTTTGTGTGTTTGTGTGTTTGTGTGTTTGTGTGTTTGTGTGTTTGTGTGTTTGTGTGTGTGTTTGTGTTTTTGTGTGTTTGTGTGTTTGTGTGTTTGTGTGTTTGTGTGTTTGTGTGTTTGTGTGTTTGTGTGTTTGTGTGTTTGTGTGTTTGTGTAATTGCGTGCTTGTGTGCTTGTGTGCTTGTGTTTGTGTGTGCTTGTGTGTGTGTTTGCTTG